CCTGGGACAGCAGGAGGACGCTGACGCAGGACACGACGACCAGTGTGAGCAGCACGAACAGGCGACGCTCGACGAGACTCAGGCGACGCAGGACGAGACTCAGGCTCACGACGCTCCGTAAGACCTCCAGTCGGACCAGTGTAAGGAGAAGGACCAGGGAGAGGGGAGGCAGACGGTAACTGTGACTGCGACTGGACAGACGGAGGACACTCTAAGGAGGGAGGAGGACAAGGAGGAGGAGGCTGACCAAGAACCTGCTGAAGGAGCGGAACGAAGTACGGCCGCGGCCGCGCAGCGTCTCCAGAACCAGCAGAGACACCAGCGCCAGGGTCCTCAGCACCAGCAGCAGCTCCACCTCCAGGGTCCTCAGCACCAGCAGCAGCTCCGACTCCAGGGTCCGCAGCACCAGCAGCAACTCCAACGCCCGGGTCCGCAGCACCAGCAGCAGCTCCAACGCCCGGGTCCTCAGCACCAGAAGCAGCTCCAACTCCAGAGTCCGCAGCACCAGCAGCACCTCCAGAAGAAGCAGCACCTCCAGCAGCTCCAGCAGCCCCAGCACCAGCAGCACCTCCAGCAGCTCCAGCAGCACCAGCAGTACCACCAGCACCAGCAGCACCTCCAGCAGCGTCAGCAGCACCAGCAGCTCCAGCACCAGCAGCACCTCCAGCAGCGCCAGAAGCACCGCCAGCAGCAGAACCTCCAGCAGCTGGGTCCGCGACACTAGGAGCGCCACTCCGAAGACTGCAGCGCCGGGCGTACCACTCTCGGAGCCGCTGGGGAGAGGGCAGCTCCCGCCTAGGAGGGGAAGCACTAGCACCAGCTCCAGCAGTACTCCTGGCTCCAGAAGCACCTCTCTTGAGGCTGCAGTACTGTAAGTACCACTCACGCAGCTGCTGTGAGGAGAGAGCCCCTCCAGGTGTAGCACTCCCAAGCTCAGCACCTCCAGACTCAGTACCCCCAGACTCAGCACCCGCAGGCTCCGCACCCCCAGGCTCAGCACCCCCAGACTCCGCAACCCCAGGCTCCGCACCCCCAGACTCCGCAACCCCAGGCTCCGCACCCCCAGGCTCCGCACCCCCAGGCTCCGCACGCTCAGGCTCAGCACCCTCAGGCTCATCACCCCTAGCAGGACGAGTGTCGACAGCTACCTCGACAGGCTCAACCGGGTCTACCTGGGACACACCTGAGGGAGCGGCACCCTGAGGGGGGAGGGGGTCTACCACAGCAGCATCTGGCGCGAGGAAGAGAGGCGGGGGGGGAAGCGGGGCAGTGCGGTAGGGGAAGAGGCGGTAGTAGGGGACGGACTCGTCGAAAGTGACGTCCTGAGAAGGCAGGACACGGCGCGAGGTGGGGTGGTAAAACTGCCAACCAGACGCGTCCGAGACAAAGCCAAGGAAGACACAAGGAACAGCGCGGGAGGAGAGCTTGTCCGCGGACGTATCGCGAACAAAGGCTCGAGATCCCCAGACCCGAAAGCGTGACGCATCGCCAACCTCTCCTGTCCAACGCAGTGTCGGCGAAGTCTCCGGAACGGAGACACGGGGCCAGAGGTTGAGCTGATGCGCAGCGTATCGGACTGCAAACGGCCACAGAAAGTGGGGGGCAGCCGCATGGATCAAGGAGGTACGAGCGACCTCCATGACCAAGCCAATGCGGCGCTCAGCAACCCCATTCTGCTGTGGAGAGGCCGGAAGCGTGAACGACTGGCGGATGCCGTGCTCCGCACAGTAGGCTGCCAAGAGGTCGGAGGAGAACTCACCACCTCTGTCAGAGTGCAAGCGCAGGACAGGAAAGTCCGAGTGGAAACGCTCGCTGAGCTGGAGACGAGAAGCGCTGATCCAAGGGATCAAAACATCAGGGACCTCACCCTTGGTGCGCAAGGGGAAGACCGTGGTGTAGCACGAGTAGTCGTCAACAACTATCAGGAAGTACCTCTCCTGACCCTGACCACGGACGCGGGCTGGGCCCCACACGTCCATGTGGAGCGTCTGCAAGGGAGCAGTCGTCGGGGGAAACGAGGAGGAGTGAGGAGCGGCGCGCTGCCGCCCCTCGACACAGGGAAGACAGGGAGGAGCAGGCGAGGGTGGGAGGGGAGGGAGAACCCTGGGAAGACCAGAGACAAGGTACCGTTTGTGCATGGCATGAAGGCGCTGCACGGACGGGTGACCAAGTCGGTGGTGCCAGAGGACGGTCTCGTGCGCCAGAGAGCGACACGAGCAGGGGGCCGACAGCTGACCTGACGCAGACGCAGACGCAGCTACCTGAGGGGACTCAGTGGTCAGTGTGTACAGGTCCGACCCTGGCTGCCGAGTGAAGGTAGCCAGGTGACGGCCCGTCCGAGCACACGTGCAGTGTGTCACGCGCTCGTAGGCAGGGGTGAACTGGTGAACACCCCCGTCCTGGAGCGCACAACCCGCCACCAAGTTCGTAGAGAACGAGGGGAGGTGGAGACCTGACAGTGTGCCCGACGGGACCGCAGGACAAGGAAGGACAGTGGAGGAGGTCGCAATGACCGGACCCCCAGAGGGGTCAGCGAGGGAGACAGCAACTGGCCGAGCAAGCGGCTCAAGGGCAGTGCGGTCACGAAAGAAACAGCGAGAAGCACCTGAGTCCAGAGTGAAGGTGTGCAGTGCCTCAGTCGACTCAGTACCAGGGGGCGCAGACTCACTAGCACCTAGAGCAGCAGCCTCACCAGCACCTGGGGTAGCAGACACGCGAGTACCGGGAGTGGTAGCCTCACCAGCACCTAGGGCAACAGACGCACTAGCACCTAGAGCGGCAGCCTCACTCACAGGACACGGCAGCTGCACCTGTCCACTACCAGAAGCTCCCGAACGACGCACTCCAGAGCGACTACCACTACGGCCACCCCGACAGCCCCAACTGGCGTACCACTCACGAAGCTGCTGGGGCGAAAGAGGACACGGCAGCTACACCTGTCCACTACCAGAAGCTCCCGACCGACCCACTCCAGAGCGACTACCACTACGGCCACCCCGACAGCCCCAACTAGCGTACCACTCACGAAGCTGCTGGGGCGTGAGGGACTCACGCGCACGGCCCTGGAGCTGCATCTGGCCACGCCAGAAGCAGCAGTAGTAGCAGTAGCGGCAGTAACAGCAGTAACAGCAGGAGCAGTAGCAGTGGGAGTAGAAAAGGCAGTAGCAGCAGTAGCAGTGGTAGCAGTGCTGGCAGGGCAATGCTCACCAGTGGTCGGCGCGGCAGGCGCAAGACGGTGGCGACAGCGGGGCCGCTACCACTGCAGGGCGGGGCCGGGCCGCAGCAGGGAGCTCCGCGGCAGCTACTGCACGGCGAGGCCGGGCCGCGACGGCAGCTGCTCCAGGTGCCAGGGGCGGCTGCTGCAGTGGCGGCTGCTCCAGGGGCCAGGGGCGGCTGCTGCAGCGGTGGTTGCTCCAAGGGCCAGGGGCGGCTGCTGCAGGGGCGGCTGCTCCAGGGGCGAGGGGCGGCTCCTGCAGTGGCGGCTGCTCCAGTGGCCAGGGGCGGCTGCTGCAGGGGCGGCTGCTCCAGAGGCCTGGCGCGGATTAGGTCAGGGCGACGCGGCGAGCAGGGCGACGCGGCGGGCAGGTGGCGACGCCGCGGGCAGGGCGACGTGGCGGGAAGGTGACGACGCCGCGAGCAGGGCGACGCGGCGAGCAGGTGACGACGCCGCGAGCAGGGCGACGCGGCGGGCAGGGCGACGCGGCGAGCAGGTGACGACGCCGCGAGCAGGGCGACGCCGCGAGCAGGTGGCGACGCCGCGGGCAGGGCGACGCGGCGAGCAGGTGACGACGCCGCGGGCAGGCGACAACGCCGCGGGCAGGCGACGACGCCGCGGGCAGGCGACGACGTCGCGGGCAGGGGCTACGTCGCGGGCAGGCGACGACGCCGCAGGCAGGCGACGACGCCGCGGGCAGGCGACGACGCCGCAGGCAGGCGACGACGCCGCGGGCAGGGGCTACGTCGCGGGCAGGTGACGACGCCGCGGGCAGGCGGCGACGCCGCGGGCAGGGCGACGCGGCGGGCGGCGAGAGCCTGCAGGGGCGGCGCGCGGTCGGGCAGAGGCTGCGCGCGGGCCTGACGAGTCTGCAGGGGCGGCTCTCAGGCCTGACGGGCCTGCAGAGGCGGCTCGGGGGGGGCCTGACGGGTCTGCAGAGGCGGCTCGGGGGCCTGGCGGACCTGCAGGGGCGGCTCGAGGGCGCACGAGGGCGCTCGAGGGCGCACGAGGGCGCACGAGGGCGCACGAGGGCGCACGAGGGCGCACGAGGGCGCACGAGGGCGCACGAAGGCGCACTAGCAGAGAAAGGCGCACGAGGGCGCACGAGGGCGCACGAGGGCGCACGAGGGCGCACGAAGGCGCACTAGCAGAGAAAGGCGCACGAGGGCGCACGTAAGGTAGGGCGCACGAGGGCGCTTCTAGCAGAATAGTGGGCCCATAGTAGAAAGCGGTCCTAGGTAGCAACCTAGGCTCTGATACCATGTTAGAATCTAGAATAGAACGAGAATGGATGAAACTAGGTAGGAGGGGGATACAAGTAGGAAACCCTAACAAAGCTGTACCCCCTAAGGCTAAACCCACTATAGCCTACACAATATGAACATATAATGTTTGACATTCTGGTGTGTCGAGCACTAAAACAAAAGCGAAGCAACAGCGAGTCAACCAAAACGATTGATTGAAAGACAACAACAAGAGGTTGAGTGAAGGTCAAAGGTCAGCAACTCGACAGCAAGGACACATAACAAACTCACTATTGAGCACTTACCTGAGTCATCGCTGTTTCGAACCGCAACAGCAGTTACAGTTAGTGAAACCTTTCATATTCCTCTGTAATCATATAAAGCTTTGTATCTCTTTGCTATTATCAACTTATATTGTTCTCACATACCAGTGCAAGGTGGTTCAATCAGTTCACTAAGACGCTTCCGCTAATACATCACTACTCTGAGACTTCAGTATTGAAAACGATCCTAAGGGCTTTTCTCAGCCCAACAAATTGCAGCTATTGCGCTTCAGCAGCTTCGGCATTGGCTTTCCTCTTTGCATGAATGGCCTCCATGGACTTGCGGCGTGTGCAATCCATTATGGTGTGCTCCGATGTGATAAAATACGCGGCAATGGCAGCTGCTCAGACAAACGGAAAGAAGAGGGGAACGGTTACTTGATGAAGATTTACCAGATGGCATTACAGAATTGCAGCTGGAAGGTACAGGTCGTTTGCGGAGGCTATTGCCAGAATTTGGGGAGATAACACCTGCCTTTCGCACTTCTTGGTGAGGTGAAATCACCATTCCGCAGAACTCGTTGACAGTGCAAGATTACCCACACCCATTAAATCCAATGGTGATACCATTGCGTTGTGAATAAAACTCGACTCAACAGAAACGGACAATCACTCACTCCCCACCCACCTGAGCTGACGATAAGAGCCTGTGCTGTGTGGTTGAGATTCTTCTTGGCCCACGGCATGGTTCGGCAGATTATAATCTGAGCAAGCACAGAGGAGGGAGCAGCAGCAGGGTTAGCATTTCATGACTCTCAAACACCATCTGCTTTAGGCAAGCTGCAATCCAGCAGACTGGGGATTGTGATAGAGAAGTGGAGATTGGGGAGGACGAAGCATGGCCCCTATCCAAGAGGAAACAGGGAACTGGGAGAGGTTAAGGGGGATTGGAAAGGATTTTTACAGATACATAATGGCATGCACCTTGCTGTAAGCGTAATGTAACGAATGGGGAGTAGGGGGGTGGCTGATTATCGCAGGGGAATGAATGATATCAAATCCTCGCCTCAGAGTCAGAGAAACACGAATTTACGCTTCGAAACAGACAATGCTGCAAAGCTTCAAAGGCTCACTGATGCGGACACTGCAGTGCACGTGTTTCAAGGCTTGCGCATCATCAGGAATACGAGGTGCAAGTCGTCTCTATTTTTTTTGTAACACAGTGCTCCAAACGGAATGAAACAAGTGGAATAGGAAAGGCCCACTGATAGGGTCGTCCTAAGCGACTGTTTGATATTTCCTACAATGAAAAACGTCAGGACAAAAGCAAGTCAAGGGGGGGGGGGGGGGGGGGGGGGTGTGGAAAAGCTCACTGTTGGGGGTGTCGTAAGCGCAGCGGCCCATGCGGCGTTATAGAAACCCACCCGAACGCCAGCTGCAGGTGAATGGGATGGCAAACAGAGAGGTCTGTTGGCAAAAACAAAACGTATCGTGGATTAATTCAGCAGGGAGACCAGGCGGTCGTTGTGTCTACTCAGCTGTACGTCTAGAATACGCTAACCGTGTTGCGAGGAGCGCGATTGAGCAGGAATGATCGAGGAAAGGACGAAATACTTGCAGCGAGGACCATAAACATGTGAGGTAATGTTGAAGATTACAAGAAGGAAAGTAAGGACAGAGTAATGTTTCGGTAAGGACTCACCATCGACGAACTCCTGGGCTTTCGCCGTCTGCTCCGCGCTTTGCTGCGCGACGGATTCGACAGGCAAAGCGACGAACAACAAATAGCATTTTTTTACATAAAAGCCGCGGGTAATCAGCCGAATTTAAGTCGACTCACCATCGACGCACTCCTGGGCCTTCGCTTTCTGCTCCGCGCTTTGCTGCGCGACGGATTCAACAGGCGAAGCGACGAACACGCGTTGGTCCCGATCGCGAGGCCTCTCCAGCGCAGACGGCACGAACATTCGCGCGGTCGTCCAGAAGCTTCCGTTCGACGTCATGATTTGTGTTGTTGTTGTTGCGGTTTTTCTCGAACCAAAGTTGAACAAATTAGCAACGACGGGAGGAGTCTCGAGGGAACGGATTGACGAGAGCACGTGAAGGTTGGAAAAAGACGATCACGGTTGGAAGTAATGGAATGCTAGCAGTTGAGAATCTTCAACGGAAAGGTGGCAAAAACCGTTCAAACAGAAACGGCAGTTCTTCGGAAGCCTTATCTCCGTGAAATTTGTCCCAGAGGCAACTTATGCAGGGTTGAAGAGGATGGCTCGACGCAAGACTCGATGGCGGATCCAAAGCAAATGGCTGAGAAAAGAGAATGCTGAGAGGCAGAAGTCTAAATAGCTCGTAATGGAGAAAATCACGAGCTGACTTGGTGTGAGATAAGAAACCTTGGCCACAATGGTGTCGCTGACATTGTATTAAAACCGCGGTGCAGATATCCGGTGCTCCAGTTCAAAGTATAATAGGTTGAAAGCCGCGTAACCCAGTATACACAGGAAAGCGAGCAGGCAGAGGTTTCTGCCAGCGGGGGAAGGGCGTGCGGAAAAGTGCTTCGCAGTATGATGTGTTGGGGGAAAGCGGGGGAGGGCTTGGGGAAAAGCTCCGCACAACGAGATGAGAGGGAGCGCAGGCAGCAAACTTGAAATTTCAAACTTGAACTCAAAACAACTCAAATCTCACGCTTGAACTAGGTTCCAACTTACTTGAAGTGCGTTTTTAGAGCTCCGCAGAGCCATTTGGCTCAGATTAATCGCGCTTCATCTTCTCTTGATGTGCGCTCGAAAGTCTTTGCTATTTCGTACCTCGTAAACACTTTTTTTCTCGTACCCGAAGCGCATTGCTCTCGTTTTCCTCCGCTGCCGTCCTTCTGTTTTCCCTCTCCCGTCCCTCCATTCCTCACGTATCTGCGGTAGCAAAGGCGCGAAGGTAGCGACAGGCAGGAATGGGTGCGACGGTGGCGAGCAGCGGGGCGACAATAGCGAGCTGCGATGACGACAGTAGCGAGCAGCGGGGCGACGGTAGCTAGCAGCGAGGCGACGATAGCTAGCAGCGAGGCGACGATAGCGAGCTGCGGGGAGACTGTTGCGAGCAGCGGGGCGACGCATCGGTTCGACGGTGGCGAGCGGTGGCAAGTGGCCGACGAAACGGGAGCGAGCAGCATCATGGACCAGGCCCCGCCTCGTCCCCGTCCGTCGGCCTGTCCCCCCTCCAGCCGTCCCTCCTTTCCTTCATTCCGTCCCCGTTACGCCCTTTCTTCCCTCATCTCCCTGTCCCTTCCCTCTCCCACTCCCCCACCCTCACAAGGATTTTTTTCCACCCTTCTATTTCCTCCCCACCCGTCCATCCCCTTCCCCCACCGTCTCTTCCTTTCCCCCTTCTACTGGCCCTCCGATTACCCCACTTCCCTTCCCTATCCAAAGCCCCCCTCATCCAGCCCACTATGCCCGTGCGAGCAGCAGCGACCAGACGCGAGTAGATGCGATGACGGCGGTGCGGGACAATGATGTGGCATTCCCCCCTGCCCATTCCCCATCTCCCCTACACCGCCCCTACCTTTCCCCCTTGCCCTTACCTCACCATTCCCCTCCGGCCCATCCCGTTTCCCACTCTCGTCCCTTCCTTTTCCCCATCTCGCGTCCCACCCTTTCTCCCCCCCGTCCCATCCATTTCACCCTTTTCCATCCCTCCCCCATTTCCATCCCTCCCCCTTTCCCACTGCTCCATCCTCCCCCTTTCACACTGCCCGGGTTGCATGGCTAAGGCGACTACGGGGAGCATCGACGGGCACAATGGCTGCAGGCAGCAAAGGCGCGACGGTAGCAAGCGGCTCGCTCCCTCCAGTCTCTCTCTCGCCGATCCTCCCAATTCTCCCTCCCCTTCCCCACTCCCGTGCACACCCTTTCCGCCACTCCGGTCTCTCCCCTTCCCTTTCATCCGTCACTCCACTTTGCAACTCTCCAACCCCACTGCTGATTCTCTCCCTTGCCCCTATCCTTCACTCCCTTTCCCCCTGTCCTTCTCTCTCTTTCCCCCTATCCTTCTCTTTCTTTCCCCCTGTCCTTCTCTCTCTCTCCCCCTTTCCTTCTCTTCCTTTCCCCCTGTCTTTCTCTCCCTTTCCCCCTATCCTTCTCTACCTTTCCTCCTGTCCTCTCTCATTCCCCCTATCCTTCACTCCCTTTCCCCCTGTCCTTCTCTCCCTTTCCCCCTATCCTTCTCTACCTTTCCCCCTGTCCTTCTCTCTCTTTCCCCCTATCCTTCTATCCCTTTTCTCCTGTCCTTCTCTTTCTTTCCCCCTATCCTTCTCCTCCTTTCCCCCTGTCCTTCTCTCTCTTTCCCCCTATCCTTCTATCCCTTTTCTCCTGTCCTTCTCTTTCTTTCCCCCTATCCTTCTCTTCCTTTCCCCCTATCCTTCTCTCTCTTTCCCCCTATCCTTCTCTTCCTTTCCCCCTGTCCTTCTCTCTCATTCCCCCTATCCGTCTCCCCCTTTTCTCCTGTCCTCCTCTCCGTTTCCCCCTGCCCTTCCCTCCCCACCCTTCCTTCCCCTCTCTTACATCCCTTCCCTTTCCTACTATCCCGTCCCATCATTCAATCTTCTCTCGGCATCCCTTTCCCCCCTCTCCTGTCCCACCCTACATCCTCCGGTCTCATCCCAGCCCACAGCACTGGCAACGCTACCTCAGTTTCCATCCTGCTTCCCCGTCACCCTCCCTTCAATTTCCCTATCAAACATTCTTCCCTAAAACGCATCGTGTCCTTCCCTTCCCTCCTCCCCCCCTCCCCCCCCCCCCTTCCCCTCCCTCCTTCCTGTAGGTGGACAGCTGCGCCAGTAATGGATAGGAGTGTGAGAATCAGCTCTTCTTGGATGTTCCCATGTTGTTTGCCTGCTATCTATCCTTTGCATAATAAAGCTTGCAAGATGCCCTTCTATGGCTTGCAGATCTGAACAGTTTTTTTTCGAATTTTCTTCCCACTTAAAATACTAGTCTTCCAAATATAAGGAAAAAATAAACATCATAAGTAGTTATCTTACTCCACTTTGTTGAGACATATGGTTTTTAGTTTTGCAATGTGGTGTTACGGTATTGGCAATATAAGTCTCAGCGAAAGGGGGGATGGACGCATTGATGGGGTCCGATTTCCCGTAGTCGTGTTTGTTTCCCCCTTTCCTCCCCCCCACCCCTTCCCCCGCCCCCCCCTTTCCTTTTGAGGTTCGCGACATGCGCCTGAGTTGTTTCCTTTCCTTTTCATCGCAACACAACTTACTCTCTCGCTAGCCAATTGACGACCAGCGCGGAACAAGACAAAAAACTGTTTTATCACTGTTCCTAAGAATGTTGCACCGCGGCTTTAAAACCGGGGTGCACATTCAGCTGAATGTGCATCAAAGGTTATCCCTTGACTGAGTGGGTTACGAGGTGTGCTTTCAACCCCTTCAAGTCGAAATTCGTTTCCCCCCTCCCCCGCAATTTCGTTTCCCCACGCCCCCGCAATTTCATTTCCCCCTCCCCGTCGAAATTCGTTTCCCCCCTCCCCCGCAATTTTGTTTCCCCCCTCCCCCGCAATTTCGTTTCCCCCCCCTCCCGCCAATCTGTTTCATCCCTCCCGCCATTCGGTTTCACCCACTCCCGCCATTTCACCCCCTCCCGCCACCTACGAAATGCCCGAAGCTCTAGCGGAATCATTTTTTTGTCGCCCCTCGTGAGCCAATCACTGTTTTTCTCCAAACCCCCTTCCCAACATCTCAAGCCGAACCGCGTTGAATGTGCACCCTGGTTTTAAGCAATGGCGACCTCGGGATTGGCGTGCTTTGCATCGCATTCTGTATTGGGACCGAAACCATGCTTCATTACGGTTATGCTGTATTGCAGAGCGTTTCAGCGATATTTAGGACGGCGCTATTACAAGGACGGAGCTTGTTGATTGAACACCTCAAGACTTTCGCAGTAACGAGGGACAAACCTGCCACGCGGGAAAATTGTTGGCAGCGTTGTTATAGTCACAAAGTGTGACAGCTCGTGAGCTGGCAAGAGCTTGCGTGGCGAGACGAGGCTTCGCGCGAAGGATCACCGCCCGCCGCAATTTTCATCTATCGCCTGACTGCTACACTCGCCAAAATGCAACTCCAATGGTCATAGATAATAATAATCGAGAGACTAAATGTTCCTAATTACATACTATTCAGTGGATGACGTGGTGGGGTGATTCAGTGATGACGATTTGCCCATCTTGTCACGTGACATCTTTGGCTCCTCTTTAACAACCGCCTCGCATGGTTCACACATACATGGCTGGATCTACTTGCTCCAGTTGAGAACATGGACACACATGGCATTGATCAACATTGAAGATCCAACAAAACTCATTCACACAGCATCTACAGCAATCTGCAGCAAGCAGATGAACTAAAATGACCTGATTCCTCCAACAAAAACAATGCTCCACAAAACCCAACCCAACCAACACCCTCCAGCATCTTCACTGGTGATGTGTTGGCTCCTGAGACCAGGATTGGGGAATACCACGTTACTCCATGTCATTACAGCTACAGAGGGGGTAATGTACCAGCTGTTACCATTGAGGCTGCTGCGGCTGTCCCTGCTGCTGCTGCCACTGCTGCTGGTGCTGAGGAGCCTGCTGCTGCTGTTGGAATGGAGGCTGCTGCTGCTGCTGCTGCCAGTTTTGTTGTGAAAGCTGCTGTTGTTGTTGCTGCTGCCACTGCTGTTGCTGAGGCTGCTGTGGCTGCTGTTGCTGCCACTGCTGCTGCTGCTGTCCCTGCTGCTGCCACTGCTGCTGTTGCTGCGTGGGCGGCTGTTGCTGCGTGGGCGGCTGCTGCTGCTGCTGCCACTGCTGTTGCTGCGGAGGCTGCTGCTGCTGCTGCTGCTGCTGCTGCTGCTGCTGCTGCTGCTGCTGCTGCTGCTGCTGCTGCTGCTGCTGCTGCTGCTGCTGCTGCTGCTGCTGCTGCTGCTGCTGCTGCTGCTGCTGCTGCTGTTGCTGTTGCTGAGGAGACTGCAGCGGTTGCCACACCTGCTGCTCCTGCTTATTCGGATTCCCTTGGGATTGCCACGACTGCCACATTTTCGTCTCCTTCTTACCCTTCTCCTCCTGCCTCCGCCGCTCCTGCTCCCAGTACCTTGTCTGGAACCGGCTCGGAAAAAGTTTCAGAATCGACTCGTCGCCGGGCAGGTAAATTTCATCCGACCCGGAAAACGTCAGAGCGAACAGAACGTGCTCGGGAAGGTTCGCGGCAGCTGCAGCCATGAAGGGGCTTTTCATCCCGGAAATCAAGGGGACAATATCAATGGTCTCGATTCGCACTCGGTTAAACTCCTTCGTCTCGGCGATTTCTAAGACCTCCTCGAAATTGAGGCATACGGAGCGGACTGAGGAGAAATCAAGCTCTTTCTCATCGTCGTCATCCGCATTGCCGCCATCCCAGCTGCCCGTGTTAGGCGGGCGCGAGGCGAAGGACGGAACGGGTCGAGAGAGCTGAGGGGTGGAGGCGAACGAATCTTGGCTTGAACATTGCGATGCAGCTGCGGGTAGGGGAGCAGGGGTAGCGGGGAGTAAAGCGCACAGGAAAGAAGGTGTTAAGGAGCAGTACCGGAAGCAGGAAAAACCGTCTCAAATTATCGCGTTCTTTTCAATCTGCACCGCTGAAAACATTTTGCCATGTGTATTTAAGAGCGGGGAACTCACTATCGGAAAAGGCGGACGAGCCGAAGGTCGGGACGAGGGGAGCATCGGCGACGTTGGCGCCGCTCCACTTATTCGGGCGGAGAAGAATCATATCGCGCGGCGACAGATTATTGCTCTGCGACGGACCACCCATCGCAGGGGGGCTCGTCGCAGGGGGAACGCCCATAATCGCACCAGGAGCCCCCATCATTTGCGCGCCCATGCCCCGCGCGCCCATGCCCTGCGCGCCCATGCAGAAGCCCATCGGCGGAGCCTGCTGGCCCGGCTGCATGGTATTGATCGTCGCACCCGCCATGCGACTCTGCTCCATCGTCGCACCCGCCATGCGATGCCCGTCGCTACTCAGTCGCCAAAGCGCCGCCGGCTGCGCCATCATGAGCGGCCCGCTTGCGCCGCCCCCGCCCGCGCCCATCGATCTCGTCGCGTAGTGCGCGGCGGGACTGGGAAACGCACCCGAGTTACCTTGGCTGGAAGAAGGCGAAACTGCGGAGAACCTTCCCGAGTTGGGACCCGAATTCGGTTCCAGGGGCGACATGGGGAACCGCCCACTGCCCGACATCCCGTCGGAAACTCTGCCCGACGCGAAAGGTTTGAATCTGCCCGAGTTCATCTGCTGCTCGCGAATCTGCTGCGCGAGCGACATGCGGGCGCGCGGGAGCTTCCCCGAGTTGGCGGGGGAGCTGGCGGCCGACGTGCCGGTACTACCGGGGGCGGCGGGTGCGGCGGCGAGTGCGGCGGCGGGTGCGGCGGCGGGTGCGGTGACGGGTGCGGTGGCGGCACTGGGGGAAGGGGGGACGTCGAGCGCACCCGGGGGAGGGGGACTGGGAGAAAGCGACGCGCTTGATGCGCCAGACGCGGAAGAATCGGCGAAGGTGGAGACCGAGGACGTGGGGGTCGAGGAAGCCACAGAACGCGGGTAATAGCTTGCTGATACACCCTCCGCACTCGGCGGAGGCGCCGGTTTATCCACCGCCGCCGTCGTTTCCGTAGCAGCCGCCATGCCGTTGAAATCCGACAGGTCTGCCGCCGCGTTGTCGACAGTTGACGACGCGGCGCTCTCCTCGAGTTTCCGCCAGTTGCGGACGGTAACAGGGCACACGAGGCTACCCGAGAATTCCGGGTCGATGGCTTTAATCAGCGTCGCCTGCTGGCGGCGCCATTCTTCCTTGCTGATGGTGCGGTCGGTACCGGGAGCGAACATGGCGTACTTATTCATATGCGGCGCGGTGGTCTCTTCCCAGCCTCTAGCGGCTGCTGCAGCCATGCGATGGCAGAGTCTATTTTTTTCTGGAGTGTGTAAAAAAAAACGAGTACGGTTCAAGAATGTTCTGTATTTCACCAGACTGTACCAGTCTCTGCCTGGGTAGATTACAAGACTGTGAGTGGGTGACTCAAACAGGAGAGGAACTATGTCGGAATTGGAGTGACTAATCAGGAGAGGAGACACTGGTGACAACACTGCTGAAGCGAGCAAGAGCATGTGAAGTGCGAACGATTTAGCAGTTGTGGAAAGAGAGGAGCCAACCATGGGGTGCTGAAGGCAAGGGTATCGGAGCGTCATGCAAGGAAAGCAGTACAGCCATTAGCTAGCGGCTGGTTGTGTCCAGTCTGGTCTGTAATGGCGGAAAATGCATTGTTGGGAGAATTGATGGTGGGATGGGGAGATAGGGTGGGGTGGGGAAGAGATTGGTTGGGTATGGCATGCACATGGGGGCAGCGGCGAGGCATGAACAGCAGAGGCCGTTGGTTCACGACTGCAACGTTTTGTTCCGCTCTTTCCTTTTCGTGGGAAATTTGTGGGCCGGGCTGCCCAGGTAAGCAAAATCTTGACGAAACAGCGGAAAGAAACGCGGATTTGTCAGTGCCAGCGTGGATGGAAATGGCAAGGAGCTGGCTTTCAATTTGACACTGTGCACTGCTAATACCTGTGCTGCCCACCTCTACGGGCAGCCAATCTGGTCCTTGGAACTCGTTCGCCATTCAGCGGCCACAGTGCCATCCTTATCAGAAAATCAGTTACGACTGATGATGTTTTTTATTGCATTCCTGTAATGTATTAAAGTGCTAAATACTGCATTTTTCGCCCTACGGTCATTGAAAAAATCGTAAAAGCCTGGTCAGCTGCTGGGAGTTGAAACTCGGGGTGATTGGATACACCATGTGCGCACAGCTTGCAATCCAGGCTGCACATCGCCTGATTAGGGTTGGCACTATTCACTGCCACCACGCCAACTTCGCGTGACAGCCTGTACCGAATCCAGCCCATGTGCTTTCTGCTCAATTGTTCGGCAGAGACAATCTTGCTTGTTCATATTTTACCTTCTTCGGTTAGTATGAACTGTCTAGCGCTAGTGGAAAACAAGTACATTTCACAACTACGGATGATGATTTGTTTGAAGGAATACATGTATCCCGACAGTATTTTTTCGTTCTGTTAACTCTTCGTCTCTGCTTCGGGCGGGGAATGTCACAACAGTAATTGTTGAAATCCTTTGACAGCAAAGCACAGAGAAGTCACTAGCAGAAAAATCTTCTGCCACGCAAGCAGGCACTTTGCGCTTTACAGCCAGAAAGCTTGAAGGTTGATGTCAACGACGCAGACCTGAAGATCACGTTTAGTCGCACGCGATTGGTGAAGCTTGTCTCGAACCAGTCACGACTACTCGCAGATCTTCAGAAGGACCCGTTGAGGAGAATCTCCGATTTGGTTTCAGAGGCTGCTTATTACAGGCGGTCGTGTGTTCTGCAGCTTGAAGCTGCTGGATTCAAATGAACACTCTTGTGGACAGATATTAGAATGTTTTGTATGCTTATGTAGCATTTTGCTAGGCTATGCCTAAGTATCTTGACTTAGTGCTTAGGTTTCAATAATCATAGCACCCATGAATTTGGATGAACAGCGGTTAGCTGCAATTACGAACTGCTTGCTTGCTTATACCAGGTACGGTATACAGAGTTCAGGGTTGAAGTACCTGGCTCCTCCCTCATACAGCACTCTAGTTCAAATTCGCATGGCTTTATCAAGGCTTGAGTTGGGAAAAATGGATGAACACCCTTTGAAATGACTATCGGTGTGCCTAATAATTTTTTTACCAACGATCTTGAATCAGGCACCCTCAGGTACCCATAGGTGGTAGTTCACACAGTGGCAGCAGCATCAAGTTACAGGAGAGGAGATTCAGGCCCATCATACCCCCTCCTCCCTCCCCCCTTACCTCTACATCAGCAATGTCATAATCTGATCTCAGCCGTTAATTTCGCTGATCAGCCTGCTAGAATCTCTTATGTCAGTGCCTTGATCCATGGGTGCTCTGACAGAGGGGGCGTGGGGGGGAGAGGGGGGAAGGGGAGGTGGGTGAGGGAAGTTGAGAAGAATTAAGGGGTAAGGTTGGGAAAGGGGGGACGGAAGAGTCTAGGAGTATGGCGGGAAGAGGAAGGGATGGAGGGTTCAAGAGTTACTACGGGATAAAGGGCAAGCGGGGGAGTATGGGAGGGGAGCGGGGAAGGGTAGGGACGGAGAGAACGATGTTGCTTTTTTTTTTTTTTTTTTTTTTTTTTTTTTGGGCTTTAAGGAGATCCCCGGAGGAACGATGTTGCTTGCATTGATGGATGAGTGAAGAAATGAGGGTAAACAAGTGCGAGTAGTGGGTGAGAAGTGGGAATGTAAGCACATGTGTGTGTACATGCAAATTTGTGCGAGTACATGTGATTTTGTATCAGAATGCGTTAGTACGCGTGTATATGCGAGTGAATGTGTCTGAGAGCTTGCATGTGTGGGCAAATTTGCCCACTCTCCCACCACTGCTCTCCCCATCCACCCACACCAGGCAGCATAATATCTTCAATGTCTGCTGCTATATGAAGCGATTTACCAGGCGCCTCCATATTTTCCATCATTTTGCAAAATTCTAGGCCCCTCGAAAAAGAATTTCCTTCTTCGCACCTCTAAAAATCTCCACCGTGGCCTGTGGAGAAAATCAGAGAAGACGAGAACAAGGCCTGGTGGCAGGCTAGTTTTGAGGCGCATCAAAACGAGAAGACGAGAACAAGGCCTGGTGGCAGGCCCGTGCATGGTGCTCCCACCAACTCCCTGCATCCTTCCCCAAACCCTCTTCTCCCTCCCGCACCCTCCCCCTCCCCTCGCCCTTCCCCCTCCCCCTCCCTCTCCCCCTCTCACCCAATCACTCTTCCCTCGACCCACAACTGACGCCCAACCCCCAACTTACTCAGTATTTCCGACACCGTGATTCGCCGGTCGAATTTCCTCGTCAGCATCCTCCTGACCAGATCCTTAGCAGCAGTGCTCACAACCGGCCATGGCTCTGTCTCAAAATCAAGCTCCTGCCACAGGATGCTCTTGAACACGTCCTCTGTGGTATCCCCCCAAAATGGGGGTAACCCGCAAAGTAGCACGTAAAGGATCACCCCCGCGCTCCACACGTCCGCCTCTGCTCCGTAGTTCTTGGCGATGACTTCTGGAGCGATGTAGTTGGGCGTTCCGGCTCGCAGCTTGCAACGCTCACCTGTAGGGGATTGACGGGGATCGAGGGGGGGAGAGGGGAAGAGGAGGGGAGGGGGCAGGGCAGGGAGGTTTGTTAAGGCGGGCAGAGAGCTGATTGGCCTCTGCTCCGTAGTTCTTGGCTATGACTTCTGGGGCGATGTAGTTGGGCGTGCCGGCACGCAGCTTACAACGCTCACCTGTAACGGGAGGGGATCGAGGGGAAGGAGCGAAGGCAGAGGGGGAGTAAGTGGGGGAGTGGGGGGGGGAGGTTTGTGAAGGCGGGAAAAGAACCGACCGATTGGCCTCTGCACCATAGTTCCAGCACACAGCTTGCAGCGCTCGCTTGTAGGGGGATAGAAGGGAGGGAGTTGAACGGTAGTTTTGGGAACGGGAGGGGAAGGATGGGTTTGGGTCAGGTGGGGGGTGAGTGGGTGAAAAGTAGAAGACTCAAAAGGGAATTGGACGAGGGATGGATTGAGAAGGGGTGAAAGGAGGGCTGGGTTCGAGTAGGAATGCAGGAGGGGATGTGATTGAAATATGGAAGAGCAGAATGCGTTCGGGCTTTAAGTTCCCGCTAGTGGCAGCTGGTGGAGCCAGAAGCCATGGCATCCCTGTTTAAGACCTCCACAGGCGCTTGTCATTGGGTCTTCCAGCATTTGATTCCATTTCATCCCCTTTACAAGGTTTCCCGTTTCTCACTCCTGTGTTCCCAGGACCCTCACCTGGCTTGAGGCAGTAGGCCATGCCAAAGTCAATCAGTTTGCACGGGGTGATCTACGAGGTGCCTCAAGGCCGCTTCTTGCCTTCTGTGTCTCTCATTCACTCTCTCAAGACCCTCACCTGGCTTGAGGCAGTAGGCCACGCCAAAGTCAATCACTTTGCATCGGGTGTCGCTCCTCTTAGACACGAGCAGGATGCTAAAGCCAATCAATGACTTTGCACTCGCTGGTTCAGCTCAACTGCTCTCACCCTCACCTGGCTTGAGGCAGTAGGCCATGCCAAAGTCAATTCACTTTGCACGCGTGTCGCTCCTCCTGGACATGAGCGCACTTGGTGGTTCAAGTGGTATCTCGTTCACACGTATGCCTTCCAGTTCACCTCAAAGCCTCTCACCTGGCTTGAGGCAGTAAGCCATGCCAAAGTCGATCACTTTGCACCGGGTGTCGCTCCTCTTAGAGACGAGCAGGATGTTCTCGGGCTTTAAGTCGCGGTGCACGATCCCCCGCTGGTGGCAGTAATCCAGCACCTCCACCACCGACCGGATCACCTTGGCCGCCTGCCTCTCTCCGTAGTACTTGCGCTCTAAGATACGGTCGAACAGCTCTCCTCCTTCACATAACTCCATGATAATGTGCACTTCCTGAGATGGGAAAGAAAGGATGGGTGGGGAGGAAGTGGGAAATCAGGGGAGAGGAGAGAGGGAGGGGGGAGGGAGAGGGAGAGGGAGAGAATGAGAAGGCCTGCACCTCCACCACCGACCGAATCACCTTGGCTGCTCTCACAGGAGAATGATTACTTGCACTCAAGGATACGGTTGAACAGCTCTCCACCTTCACATAACTCCATATCGGCTAATTGTTTGTTTGTTTGATGTATATTTATTATTTCTGCCTTGTTTGTAATTGCATGCAAGCACACACCTTTTCATCTTCAATGGTCTCGATGATCGAGACGACATGGGGGTGCCCCCTGAGAGTCTCGAGAACCTGCACCTCCCTCTTTACATCGTCCACGTCATCCCAACACTGCAGACCGCATGGGGTTCGGGAGGGATAAAAGTATAAATTGATGGAATGTGGCACAATGTACATACACGTGCATGTGAAAAATGCGTGCATGAATGCGAAATGCTAGTGTATGGATTTGTGTACATGTGGCATGCCTGCATCCATGGAAACAGTAGACGAAGGCCAATGCAAGCATGTAATAAATGCTGAATCATCTTCTCACTTTTCACATGTATTGGAAGCTCTTTCACTTAGCATGGCGTTACCCCAAACTCACTGCTCTTGCTTTCTCTCACAACCAAGACTTATCCCCTTGTCCTCCACTCGACCTACCGTGACCACCCGTTGCGACCTCCTCTTCCGCTCTTCTCCGCCCCTCACTCCTCCGCTCCCCACCTGCGGCCCATCCCTCCTCCCTCTCACCTCACGCGCTCCCTTCCACCTTGGCACCCATTCACTCTTTGCTGCCCCACTTGCCGCCCAAACAACTCTGCCCCACATGCTACTCTCACCTTGCGCGTGCTTTGACCCTCATGATCCGCGTCATCACCAGCACCCCTAGTCAAAACGTACCTCGAGCTTAGCCTTGGTGATTGTCTTGCACGCGTATCGCTCGCCCGTTTCCAGATTCTCGCACACGTGAATCACGCCGAAGTTCCCCCGCCCAAGCTCCTTCGGTGACATCTTGTATTTATCCTCCAAATCCTGATACGGTTTCCCCAAAACATTCGAGTTCGACGGACCGAGAACTTCGGGTGTTTCTTCTTCCACCTCATAATCCCCGTCCTCTCTGTAATACTCGCTCACTTGCGGCGTTCTTAGCGGGACGCCGGAAACGATTCTAGAAGCTCCTTTCCGCGGGGATTGCAAGGGAGTTCCCGCGTTCCAGTTGCTGAACATACTCTGAATCTCCGCCAGTTTCGCCTGATCTCGCTCGCTTTGCGCCGCTACAGTACGCGGGCTTGCGCAAAGCGACCCCCCTGGCGTCATCGATTTCCGCGAGCCTCCCCCTCCCCCTTGCGTGTACGGGGAAGCAAATCCCCCCGCGCCCGGGGGATTTCGGGGGCTCGCGTAAGGGCTGCCGTACGGGCTAGTACTTGGAAGATTCACTTTCAGGCCGCCTTTCAGACTAACCACTCCACCTGTACTCATCACCATACCGCCTTTCGCTCCATACCCTCCTCCTCCGCCGCCGCCGCCGCCGCCAACACCGCCTCCTAATCGCGACATGCTTCCGCGCGGTCCGGAAAGCAGCTGCGAGTTCGCGCCGCCGCCGCCGCTGGCAGCGCTGGGCCCCAGAGGCGACGCGCCCGGTCCGGCACGCGGATCAGGCACGACGTTCGGGACGACGGGGACACTAGAGGAACGGCGATGGCCCTTCCCCTTCGCAGGCGGTCCGGACGAAGGTGATCCGCCGCCAGCGACGCCGCCGCCGAACCAGGACGCAAGTCCGCCGCCACCGCCGCCGCCGCCGCCGCCGGTACTGTTGCTCGCCGTTGGTTGCGGAGATGCGACACCGCTGGACGTGGTCGTGTGCGTCGCGCTGCTTCCGCCGTGGCCTGCGCCGCCAAACCAGGAGAGCATTCCGCCATTACTCGATGGCGGAGTCACCGGAGACAGTTGCGGGGAAGTCTGTAACGAGTTTGTCTTTGCTGCACCTAGTCCCGAGCCTTTGTCGAACCAATTCGTCTTAGGACTCTGGGCTGGTACAGCCTGATCCGGCGAGACCGGGTGCGAGCTGTCGTGGGAGTTTTCCGAACCGGCTGCCGAGCCTGTAGGCGTGATGGCAGTTCCGGCGCCGAACCAAGAGAGGATAGGGCTCGTCGCACCACCGGCAGGCGGCGTTTTCGCGCCCGACTGGGGAATGCTGAGAGGCGTCGGGGACTTAGAGGCCGCAGTATTCAAAGGTTGCAGATCGCTATTAGTCTGCTTTTGGCGCCGCGACCATAACCCGCCCCACCCGCCGCTGCTACCGTGACCGTCCGATTCAGTCGCGCCCTTCCCCCCTGCCGTCGATTTCGTAGTGGACCGCTGATCGACGCTCCCTTCCGTATGTTCCACTTCTGCGGACATATGCGACACTCCGGTTCCACCCTGCGCGGAGGTCCCTTGCGAATCGCCCTCAACTATCGCGGCACCGTAATCCACGTCAGCCCAATCTCCCGGCGAGCCTGACGAAGCGCCGCCATGCGACGCCCTACCCTGCGCCTGCTGCGTCTGTGCTGACGTGGCTCGGCCAGCTCCCGGGCCTGAACCGTATTGCTCCTGTCCCGTCGCTCCCGCCCACTCCTGTGATCCCTGTAACGGCGACGACTGTCGCAGGCGACTGCCGGAGTTGTGTTGGAGCTCTTGCGAGTTTCGCGAAGAGGTCCCGACGGGAGACTTAACAGGAGAGCCAGAGGCCCCACTTAACGGGCTGCTCGGAGAAAAGGTCGAAAAGGAAAAATCTTCGGATCGAATGCGACGATGGCGGGGGCCGTTGGGTTTGGGCGGCCGGCTGACTTCGAGCGGCCGTACATGCGGCACGCCGGCAACTCTACCGGTCGGGAGCGGCGACTTGGACCGTCGCCGTTCCGAGCCGGGAATTCCGCCTTGACTTGCGGGGCCGGAGGGCGCAGGGGAGCGATATGCAGGGGGGATATGCTGGTGCTGCTGCTGCTGGTCGTGGTAATGATTAAACTGTTTCTGCTCGTCCTGATATTTCTGCGGCTGCTGCTGCTGACGTGGCTTGTGAAGCGGGGCTACATTTTGCATTCTCGATGTCGCCTCGTCGTCTCTCGAGCCGCTTTGAGCTCCGTAATCGTCATTTCTATTATCGAAGGATAGCGACGATGTTCTATCTTTCTGCTGCGGCGCGCCGCCGCTGCCATGGCCTTGAGTGTGACTGTGTCGGTTGTGCGCATAGTGGGAGGCTGGCGATTGAAAAGATTCCTCGCTGTGCGACGAGGTTTCCTCCTCGATGCTCCAGAACTCCATACCGCCCGCGCCTTGCGCGGCGCTACCGCCGCCGGCGCCGCCCTTCGCCACAGTCCCATTCGGAGTTATCACGAGTGACGGGTCCAGCTGAAACCCGTCGGAATGGCTTCGCCTGTGTCCTGGCTGCTTCATCCGCGAGGGACGCGGCGGCACGGACGACGCGCTCGCCATGGAGGCCGCGCCGCCTGCGGCGGAATAAGTGACGGCCGATACGGGAAACTTATTCGACGACGGGGGTAGGTTGTGAGAAGGCTGGGAATGCGTCGAGGATGGCGGCTCGAAGTTGAAGGGCGTTCGCGAGTAATGGAGCGGGTAGTCCTGTTTACTGCTGCTAGGGTTGAAGCTGGGTGGTTGGGGAAACGACCTGGAATCGTCAACCAAAATTTCCATGGAGGGAGGGAATGCCACTCAGAGTGGCGTTCTGGTCTGGTTACAGATGTGCAGAGCTTTTTTTGAAAGTGAGCGAGTGCTGCAAGAATAGGGAGAGGCGGGACGAAACGAGGAATCTTGGGTCAGTAAATTATGGACTGCGCCCCTAAAGAACGAAACGTGCTTCCTAAACGTGAGCTGGTTGCCAAACTGGTGGGCTTCCATCCGAACCAGACGATTTCCTCAGCTCCCTGTCGGGCTTTCGTTTCAGTGCCATTTGAATTCCGCGCAGGGCCAGCTCGAAGCTACTTTCGCTACTTTCTGAAGCTAGAAGTTTGGTTCAAACCAGCTAAGCCCTGCTTGGTGGGAGAGGCTTGTAAGAAAGGTTTGGTAGCGCCCATTCAACGCGGTTGCCGCAAGAGGGGACCTATGGGATTTTGAAAATCGCATCAGTATGGATACCAACCATATCTTCATAATTGAGGACAGCCTGAAGTGCAATAACCTGAAGGAATAAACCCATAGTTGAAGTCTTAACGCTTAACAAAACAAAAGGTCACTTACGCTGTCATATGACCAGATGACAACACGCCTGATTGAATCCACCACAAGAACAATTAACGTAAGTGGTAGTGCTTGTCGCGTTCGCCGGTAATCCATCAAGCCAAGCATTTTCCCCAACGGCCAGCCTGTTCCCTGTGGTAAAACTGGTCAGCGGTTTCATTTTGATCTGTCGAGCTCGTGCTGTTTCTTGTGCCTCAGCTTGGCTCGGAACGGAACTGCCAATGGAGCTTCGGTAAAACGAATTCACTCATGTTAGAACTCGTACATGACTTACGGACAGATTTTAAAAACTATGATGCATCGGAAATCATAAAACTAGCGAAGAGCAGAGATGAGAACAACATAATACACTTTATGGAGATGTCCAGTACAGGATAGCATTATTAGGGTTTTGCTAGTGTTGTCCATTAGTGGCTGGCATTCTCACTAGCAAGGTTCTCTTGGCGCGCGCCGCGTTCTTCATGCTTCCTTGTCACACGGCCGTGCTCCGAACGTCGCCGATGCAGTCGCTCTCGTCACTGACCAATACCACGAAGCCAAATGTCGCACAGAGCCCCGCGGGGGCCTTGAGAGTGTTACCGACCGTCGCTAGTTCTCTTGAGTTACGCAAAACAAGCAAACCGCCGGAAATCCTGCGAGCGGCAACTGGCATTAGGTATGCTGCAGGCAGAATTTCTCGGGTTCGTATTGGTCGGTTCCAGGCCAGTCTTGCGCAGGATGCGGTCACAGGATCAAATGAGCAAGTAGCGGAAAGTGCGATCGAGGACAGGGGGAGAGAGCGGAAAGAACGGCGGAGCAGCAGGAGCAGCAGCGGAGGAGCAGTCGATGGGGATGGTGGAGGTGTCAGCAGCAGCAGCGGAGGAAGCGGCAACGGGGATGGTGGGGGTGGCAGCAGCAGCCGAAGCAGCAGCAGTCGCAAGAGCAAGGCGGCAAGACGCCACAAACCGCCTGATCACAATGACGTCAGCATGCCGCCCAGCAATGATGACTTGCGCAGCTGGGCGGCGCTGGACGGCAAACGGCTGATGAATGTCCTATCGTATCGCGCCACGTTGGCAGAACTGCTGGCCGTGGTGAAAGCACACAGAGAGAACGAGGAGGAGATGAGAGGGAGTGTAGGAGGCGGTGTGCGGGGGGATAGAAGAGGGGAGGAGAGATGGGGAGAGGAGAGAAAGGGAGGGGAGAGACGGGAAGACGAGAGTGTGAGGGAGGGTAAAGTGGGGGAGGGTGGAGGGGGAGAAGATAGAGGGGAGGAGGGGAATTATTCTTCTAAGCAAGTGAAGGGTCAAAAGGATGGGAAGGCAAGCACAGGTCTGTCCCCTGTACACATCTGCACCGCATTCCACCGCATTGCCAAGCACGCCAAGCGCATGGGCGGTGGGCGGCGTCTCGTGGACCGGCTCAAAGAGGACGAAACGGTCCGGTGGCTCGGGCGGCAGGTGGAGGCACTAGCTAGGGGCGGCAGACTCAAGGGCCAGGCTTTGGCTAACGTGGCATGGTGAGTGTGTGTGTGGGTGGGGGGGTGGGTGGGCGGGTAAATGGGTGGGAGGGATGGCAGGTGGGCAAGTGTTGGTCGTTGGCTAGGGGCGGCAGACTGAAGGGCCAGGCTTTGGCCAACGTGGCATGGTGGGTTTGTGCTTGGGTGGATGGGTGGGTGGGATCGGGGGTGGGTGGGTGAATGGGATGGGATGGTGGGTGGGTGGGTGCTGGGCGGCAGACTGAAGGGCCAAGCTTTGACCAACGTGGCATGGTAAGTGGGTGGGTGGGTGGGTGGGATGGTTGGTTGGATGGTGGCGGGCGGGCGGGCTGGTAAATGGATGGTTGGTGGATGGGTGGGTGGGTGCGTGGTGGGTGGTGGTCGTGGGTTCAGCTCAGGCACGATTGGTTGTCTCATGCGTCCTTAAAACATGTATGTTGCATCTTCCATTTATCTTCCATCACTGATGGGTGGCAAGGCTCAGGGTTCAGGGTTTGGGTTTTCTGGGAGGTTTGATTTAGTTTAGAGCATCTGACCTATTTGACCCCCGTTGAACCCATTGACCACTGTTGAGACATCTCAAAAGGGTTTGGGTTTTTGGAAGTTTTGAATATAGAACATTTGACCTCCATCCATTTGACCCCCGTTGACCCCGTTGACCACTGTTGACTCCCTGGAGACGAGTTTTGAGGCGCCTCAAAATGCATTTGACCTATTTGACCCCCGTTGACCCCGTTGACCCCGTTGACCACTGTTGACTCCCTGGATTCAGGGCAACGGCAGAGCTGGGGCACAGGCCACCGTCCCTGCAGCATGCTGTCATGAAATGTGGCTCCCTACTGCCTCGCAATTCCCTCCTCCCTCATTAAGTTTGACCTCTGTTGACTGTCCACCTTGATCAAGGGCACAGGCGGGGCTGGGGCATGGCCCATCTTCCCTGCTTGCTGCTATCATGGATCGTGCCCTTCTAATGGAATTCAACCACGTTGACCCCCGTTGACCCCCTTTGACCCCCGTTGACCTTCTCTCAGGGCACAGGCAGAGCTGGGGCACGGCCCACCATCTCTGCTCAACACGGTCATGGCAGCGTCTCTCGCGCAGATCAAATCCTTCCAGCCGCTGGAGGTCGCAATACTTGTACGTGTGCGAGTGTGTGAGTGTGCGTGTGTGAGTGTGGGTACCAGCACAGCACGGCACACTTGGCCTGCTCAACACCATCATGGCAGCGTCTCGCGCTCACATCAAATCCTTCCAGCCGCTAGAGGTGGCCATTCTGGTGCGTGCAGGTTTCTGTCTCTGTGTGCATTTGTCTCCAGCATATTTGTATATGTAAACATACACTTATGCATATAAATATATATATACATACATGTTGTTACATACATACATGTATACATATATCAACAACACTCTGTCCCCTCCCCACCTTCAGATGCATGCCCTAGGCTCCACTGCCGGCATGCCAGCTGTCAACGCCAGCCGCTCAACCTAAGCCTCTCATAAGTGGTTATTAACACTCCTATGTCTCCTCCCCTTTCAGATGCATGCACTAGGCTCCACCACCGGCCTGCCAGCTGTCAACGCCAGCCTGTCACGGGACCTGCTTGGGCGGCTGACGTGGGAGCACGTGATTGGCTCGCTGCACTGCTACCAGCCGCGCCACGTTAAGGAGATCCTTTGGTACTGTTACACATCGTACTGTTTTCATAATGCTGTTATATCACATTTTATTCATAATGCTGTTCATATCACACTAATTTCATATCACACAATTTTGATATTTCTGTTCAAGTCACACGATTTTCATAATAATGTTAATATCACTCAATTTTGATAATGCTGTTCATATCACACTTTTTTCATAATAATGTTAATATCACTCAATTTTGATAATGCTGTGCATATCACACTTTTTTCATAATAAAGTTCATATCACACAATTTTGATAAGGCTGTTCATATCACACTTTTTCATAATAATGTTCATATCACACAATTTTGATACTGCTGTTCATATTGCACTGGAAGTCTTTGACACCCCCTTTCCACCTCCTCCCCCCATGTGCGTGCATATGTGTGAGCATTTGTATCCATGTCTGTGTCCCCCCCCCCTTTCACCTCCTTCCCCAATGGTATCCCAGGGCGCACGCGCGGGTGGGGCTGCACTGGCACGCGCTCCTGCTCTGCTCTTCAGTACCCTGCATCCGCTCTTCTTCCCCTGTTCTCCCCCCTTCAACAACCCCCCAACCTCTCCTCCTCCCCCACCTCTCCCCCCCCATGGCATCCCAGGGCACACGCACGGGTGGGGCTGCACTCGCACCTGCTCTTCCGCGAGGCGGCAAAGCTTGTCCTTTCTGACATGAGCAGCTACAGTGCACCGCAGCTCGCCATCATCGCATGGTACGGCATGGCATGGCATGGCATGGCATGATGCGGCTTGGCACGGCATGGCTTGGCATGGCATGGTATGGCATGGCATGTCATGTGATGGATGGCATGGTGTCACGACTCACGTGTATGGTGTGGCTGTGTCATGCATGGGATGCATGTTATGGTGTGGGATGCTACCAGCATGCTAACAAGGGAATCTCCCATATGGTACGAACGGAATGGCGTGGTCAGGGTTGGTGTATTGCGCGGAGACATGTATTGCGCGTAGACATGGCACGACATCCAGACCAATGGGAAGCACTTGACATGACATGACATGGCATTGTGTCATGACTCAGACGTATAATGCGGCTGTGCATTCTTCCTCGCAGGTCCGTTGCCGAATTGCAGCACTCTGAAGATCCTCTGTGCCTCTGTGCTTCTGTGCCTCTGTGCTTCTGTGCCTCTGTGCTTCTGTGCCTCTGTGCTTCTGTGCCTCTGCTTCTGTGCCTCTGCTCCGCTTCTGTGCCTCTGCTTCTGTGCCTCTGCTTCTGTGCCTCTGCTTCTGTGCCTCTGCTTCTGTGCCTCTGCTTCTGTGCCTCTGCTTCTGTGCCTCTGCTTCTGTGCCTCTGTTTCTGTGCCTCTGTTTCTGTGCCTGTGTGCCTATGCTTCTGTGCCTCTGTGCCTCTGTGCCTATGCTTCTGTGCCTCTGTGCTTCTGTGCCTCTGTGCTTCTGTGCCTCTGTGCTTCTGTGCCTCTGTGCTTCTGTGCCTCTGTGCTTCTGTGCCTCTGTGCTTCTGTGCCTCTGTGCTTCTGTGCCTCTGCTTCTGTGCCTCTGCTCCACTTCTGTGCCTCTGCTTCTGTGCCTCTGCTTCTGTGCCTCTGCTTCTGTGCCTCTGTTTCTGTGCCTCTGTTTCTGTGCCTGTGTGCCTCTGTGCCTATGCTTCTGTGCCTCTGTGCCTCTGGGCCTATGCTTCTGTGCCTCTGTGCATCTGTGCCTCTGTGCCTATGCTTCTGTGCCTCTGTGCCTATGCTTCTGTGCCTCTGTGCTTCTGTGCCTCTGTGCTTCTGTGCCTCTGTGCTTCTGTGCCTCTGTGCTTCTGTGCCTCTGTGCTTCTGTGCCTCTGTGCTTCTGTGCCTCTGTGCTTCTATGCCTCTGTGCTTCTGTGCCTCTGTGCTTCTGTGGCTCTGCTTCTGTGCCTCTGCTCCGCTTCTGTGCCTCTGGTTCTGTGCCTCTGCTTCTGTGCCTCTGCTTCTGTGCCTCTGTTTCTGTGCCTCTGTTTCTGTGCCTGTGTGCCTCTGTGCCTATGCTTCTGTGCCTCTGTGCCTCTGGGCCTATGCTTCTGTGCCTCTGTGCATCTGTGCCTCTGTGCCTATGCTTCTGTGCCTCTGTGCCTCTGTGCCTATGCTTCTGTGCCTATGTGCCTCTGTGCCTATGCTTCTGTGCCTCTGTGCCTCTGTGCCTATGCTTCTGTGCCTGTGTGCCTCTGTGCCTCTGTTTCTGTGCCTGTGTGCCTCTGTGCCTATGCTTCTGTGCCTCTGTGCCTCTGTGCCTATGCTTCTGTGCCTCTGTGCCTCTGTGCCTATGCTTCTGTGCCTATGTGCCTCTGTGCCTATGCTTCTGTGCCTCTGTGCCTCTGTGCCTATGCTTCTGTGCCTGTGTGCCTCTGTGCCTCTGTTTCTGTGCCTGTGTGCCTCTGTGCCTATGCTTCTGTGCCTCTGTGCCTCTGTGCCTATGCTTCTGTGCCTCTGTGCCTCTGTGCCTATGCTTCTGTGCCTATGTGCCTCTGTGCCTATGCTTCTGTGCCTCTGTGCCTCTGTGCCTATGCTTCTGTGCCTGTGTGCCTCTGTGCCTATGCTTCTGTGCCTGTGTGCCTCTGTGCCTCTGTTTCTGTGCCTCTGTGCCTCTGTGCCTATGCTTCTGTGCCTCTGTGCCTCTGTGCCTATGCTTCTGTGCCTATGTTCCTCTGTGCCTATGCTTCTGTGCCTCTGTGCCTCTGTGCCTATGCTTCTGTGCCTGTGTGCCTCTGTGCCTCTGTTTCTGTGCCTGTGTGCCTCTGTGCCTATGCTTCTGTGCCTCTGTGCCTCTGTGCCTATGCTTCTGTGCCTCTGTGCCTCTGTGCCTATGCTTCTGTGCCTCTGTGCCTCTGTGCCTATGCTTCTGTGCCTATGTGCCTCTGTGCCTATGCTTCTGTGCCTCTGTGCCTCTGTGCCTCTGTTTCTGTGCCTGTGTGCCTCTGTGCCTCTGTTTCTGTGCCTCTGTGCCTATGCTTCTGTGCCTCTGTGCCTCTGTGCCTATGCTTCTGTGCCTATGTGCCTCTGTGCCTATGCTTCTGTGCCTATGTGCCTCTGTGCCTATGCTTCTGTGCCTCTGTACCTCTGTGCCTATGCTTCTGTGCCTGTGTGCCTCTGTGCCTCTGTTTCTGTGCCTCTGTGCCTCTGTGCCTATGCTTCTGTGCCTCTGTGCCTATGCTTCTGTGCCTCTGTGCCTCTGTGCCTATGCTTCTGTGCCTCTGTGCCTATGCTTCTGTGCATGTGTGCCTCTGTGCCTATGCTTCTGTGCCTGTGTGCCTCTGTGCCTATGCTTCTGTGCCTGTGTGCCTCTGTGCCTATGCTTCTGTGCCTCTGTGCCTCTGTGCCTATGCTTCTGTGCCTGTGTGCCTCTGTGCCTCTGTTTCTGTGCCTGTGTGCCTCTGTGCCTATGCTTCTGTGCCTCTGTGCCTCTGTGCCTATGCTTCTGTGCCTCTGTGCCTCTGTGCCTATGCTTCTGTGCCTATGTGCCTCTGTGCCTATGCTTCTGTGCCTGTGTGCCTCTGTGCCTATGCTTCTGTGCCTGTGTGCCTCTGTGCCTATGCTTCTGTGCCTCTGTGCCTCTGTGCCTATGCTTCTGTGCCTGTGTGCCTCTGTGCCTCTGTTTCTGTGCCTGTGTGCCTCTGTGCCTATGCTTCTGTGCCTCTGTGCCTCTGTGCCTATGCTTCTGTGCCTCTGTGCCTCTGTGCCTATGCTTCTGTGCCTATGTGCCTCTGTGCCTATGCTTCTGTGCCTCTGTGCCTCTGTGCCTATGCTTCTGTGCCTGTGTGCCTTCTGTGCCTGTGTGCCTATGCTTCTGTGCCTCTGTGCCTCTGTGCCTATGCTTCTGTACCTCTGTGCCTCTGTGCCTATGCTTCTGTGCCTATGTGCCTCTGTGCCTATGCTTCTGTGCCTCTGTACCTCTGTGCCTATGCTTCTGTGCCTGTGTGCCTCTGTGCCTCTGTTTCTGTGCCTCTGTGCCTCTGTGCCTATGCTTCTGTGCCTCTGTGCCTATGCTTCTGTGCCTCTGTGCCTATGCTTCTGTGCCTCTGTGCCTATGCTTCTGTGCATGTGTGCCTCTGTGCCTATGCTTCTGTGCCTGTGTGCCTCTGTGCCTATGCTTCTGTGCCTGTGTGCCTCTGTGCCTATGCTTCTGTGCCTCTGTGCCTCTGTGCCTATGCTTCTGTGCCTGTGTGCCTCTGTGCCTCTGTTTCTGTGCCTGTGTGCCTCTGTGCCTATGCTTCTGTGCCTCTGTGCCTCTGTGCCTATGCTTCTGTGCCTCTGTGCCTCTGTGCCTATGCTTCTGTGCCTATGTGCCTCTGTGCCTATGCTTCTGTGCCTCTGTGCCTCTGTGCCTATGCTTCTGTGCCTGTGTGCCTCTGTGCCTCTGTTTCTGTGCCTGTGTGCCTATGCTTCTGTGCCTCTGTGCCTCTGTGCCTATGCTTCTGTGCCTCTGTGCCTCTGTGCCTATGCTTCTGTGCCTGTGTGCCTCTGTGCCTCTGTTTCTGTGCCTCTGTGCCTCTGTGCCTATGCTTCTGTGCCTCTGTGCCTATGCTTCTGTGCCTCTGTGCCTATGCTTCTGTGCCTCTGTGCCTATGCTTCTGTGCCTATGCTTCTGTGCATGTGTGCCTCTGTGCCTATGCTTCTGTGCCTGTGTGCCTCTGTGCCTATGCTTCTGTGCATGTGTGCCTCTGTGCCTATGCTTCTGTGCCTCTGTGCCTATGCTTCTGTGCCTGTGTGCCTCTGTGCCTATGCTTCTGTGCCTGTGTGCCTCTGTGCCTATGCTTCTGTGCCTGTGTGCCTCTGTGCCTATGCTTCTGTGCCTCTGTGCCTATGCTTCTGTGCCTATGCTTCTGTGCCTGTGTGCCTCTGTGCCTATGCTTCTGTGCCTGTGTGCCTCTGTGCCTATGCTTCTGTGCCTCTGTGCCTCTGTGCCTATGCTTCTGTGCCTCTGTGCCTCTGTGCCTATGCTTCTGTGCCTGCCTGGGCCTGCGGAGTTCCGTGCCTTCCTTCACGCGCTCTCTCCGCTCTCCTTCTTCCCCGCAGGTCATTCGCCAAACTCCACCATTCAGACGATTCTCTCTTCCACGCCCTGGCTGTGTGGGCCTGAGTGTTCAACCCTCCGCTCACCTTCCTCTCCTCCCTCTCACACTCTCTCTCCTTCCCCGCAGGTCATTCGCCAAACTCCACCACTCAGACGACCCTCTCTTCCACACCCTGGCTGCGTGGGCCGAGAGCAACGCTCCTGCGTTCGCATCTCAAGATACCTCCAACATGCTCTGGTGAGCGTCGGCTTCTCTCCCTCCTCTCAGCCATGGCTGCCTGGGCCGAGACCCACCAGCCGTGGCTGCTCTGGTGAGCACTGCTTTTGAGTTGACTCAAAAGTCGGCCTCTCTCCCCCCTCTCAGCCCTGGCTGCGTGGGCCGAGAGCAACGCGCCAGCATTCGCGTCTCAAGACACCTCCAACATGCTCTGGTGAGCCGCATAACTCACATGATCCTCTCTTCACATCACATGTCCTGTGAACCGCCCTCTCTTCTTCTCAACGTCTGCCAAGCTGCACCACTGAGACGGCTCTCTCTTCTGTGCCATGGCTTGCAGGGCCGAGTGCAATGCACCTGCATTCGCGTGATGACTTTTGAGTCGACTCAAAAGTCAACTTGCAGGGCCGAGTGCAATGCACCTGCATTCGCGTTATGACTTTTGAGTTGACTCAAAAGCCAACTTGCAGGGCCGAGTGCAATGCACCTGCATTCGCGTGATGACTTTTGAGTCGACTCAAAAGTCAACTTGCAGGGCCGAGTGCAATGCACCTGCATTCGCGTTATGACTTTTGAGTCGACTCAAAAGCCAACTTGAAGGGCCGAGTGCAATGCACCTGCATTCGCGTGATGACTTTTGAGTCGACTCAAAAGCCAACTTGCAGGGCCGAGTGCAATGCACCTGCATTCGCGTGATGACTTTTGAGTCGACCCAAAAGTCAACTTGCAGGGCCGAGTGAAATGCACCGGCGTTCGCGTCGCAAGACATATCCAACATGCTCTGGTAAGCCGCCCTCTCCTCGTGTCAGCCTTTGCTGCCTGGCCTGGCCCGGGAGGAGTACACCTAGATCTCCCTCGCCTCGCCCCTCACCTTCTTTGATTCCCCCCTCGTGTTTTGAGTCGACTCAAAGTACACCTAAATCTCCCTCGCCCCGCTCCTCACCTAAATCTCTCCCTCGCTCCTCACCCTTTCTTTGATCCCCCCTCCCCGTTCTCAGGGGATGCGCTTGTCTCAACATAAACGCTTCAAGCGTGTTTACCCTCTTTGTACCGTCGATGGTTGGACGCTTCCCTCCCCCTCTCGTCCCTCTCCCCCCTCTCGTTGGCCCTCTCCCCATCCCCCTCGCCCCTCTCAGGGCATTCGCTCGTCTCAACGTGAACGCTCCAAACATGTTTGCACTCTTTGTGCCGCGGGTGATCGGCTCGATACAGGAACACTCCACACAGTCACTTTCCAACATTGCATGGTACAGTAATGTTTTTGTATCGCACAGTACATTGGTTTGATAATGTTGTGTGGTAGAATATGTTTTTTTAAGAGGTGCTGTTTTTTGGATCCCAGTGTTTCATGTCAATGCTGCATGGTACACTAATCCGTAATATTTCCGCTCGGTACAGTACTCATTTTATATTCCTTCTCCTTCCCCTTCTCTCCCCCCCTTACTTCCGCCATTCCACAGGGCGTATGCCACAGCAGGGCATCGCAGCCACCAGCTGCTAGAGGCAGTGGGGGAGGAGAGCATGAGACGAATCATATGTGTGTGCGTCCACCTAAGAAAACTCTCCCCTGTTTCCCTTGCTCCCCTCCCCACAGGGCGTACGCCACAGCAGGGCATCGCAGCCACCAGCTGCTAGAGGCAGTGGGGGAGGAGAGCACGAGACGAATTGTGGGCGGCACACTGGAGAGGGAGGCTATATCTGGGCAGGCTGTTGCCAACATTGCGTGGTACGGTGCAGTGCTGTGCGGTGCTGCATGGTGTGGTGCAGTACAGCGCTCTCCTGTTCTTCTGTGTGGTGTGCGGTGCTCTGTGGTGCTGTGTGGTACTGTGTGTGGTGGATGGTGGGTTAGAAAGCAGTGGTTGAGGAGACCATGCGGCGAATCGCGGCGGCACACTGGAGAGGGAGGCTGTATCTGGGCAGGCCGTCGCCAACATCGCATGGTACGGTGCGGTGTGGTGTGGTGCATGCATGGTGGGTTAGACGCAGTGGGGGAGGAGAGCACAAGGCGAATTGTCGGTGGCAAACTGGAATAAGAGGCTGCCAATATCGCATGGTATGGTGCGGTGCTATGTGGTGCATGGTGGGTTATACGCAATGGGGGAGGAGATAACAAGGCAGTTCGTGGACGGAAAACTTGAGAGGGAGGTTGTCTCTGGGCAGGCTGTTGCCAACATCGCATGGTACGGTGTGGTGCTGTGCTGTGTGGTGCTGTGCTGTGTGGTGCTGTGCTGTGTGGTGCTGTGCTGTGTGGCGCGGTGAGCGCACTGTGATGTGGTGCTGTGCATTGATAAGCGGTGCTGTGTGGTTCTCTGTGTTGAGAGGCTGTTTTACATGTGCATGGTATAGTTGTCTGGATGGTTTAGGTTTCACTATGCTGGAACCTTCGCCCCTGCACAAGTGTTTTACGTTTTGGAACTCAGTGGTTGCATTGTAAGCAGTCCTGTGCATGGTGGCTTGCAATTGTCATTCATTTTAAGTGTCGTGCCTCATTACAGCATCTCTCTTATTCCAGCCTGTTTTCGAGAATTCTCAATAGCTGGCTTCCCAGCATCAACACATCCCTCTTTGTCTGCTGCACAGTTTCTCTCCTCAGTTTCTAACCACCCACCCACCCCTCTGTCGCTCTCCTCCGTCTACTCCTTTTCCACGCCGTCTCCGTCCGCCTTTGTTCACCTCTCCTCCCTCTGCCTTCTCTCCCCAAATCTTGCTGCACGCAACGTGATTGAAAGAATGCAAGTGGTTTGAGACGTCTCAAAAGAGTGCAAATGCATTCTGATCCTTGGCCTGTATTTCTCCGCCCTCCGCTCTCCCTCTTACCAAATGTCTCCTGCATTTTTTTAGGCACCTCAAAAACCGAATGTCTCCTGCAGGGCATTAGCAACAAAGAGTCACTACCACATCCCTTTTTTCCAACAATCCCTCGCAACATTATCCACGTTTCTCTCTCCTCTACCCTCTACCCTCCTTCCCCCTCCCCCGCCCCTGCCTTTTTGGATTCCCCTTCCTGCAGGGCACTAGCAAAGCAGAGTCATTACGATGTCCCCTTTTTCTATTATTTTTTTGACATTCCTTCACAACTTTATCCACGTTTCTCTCTTCTCTACCCCTCCTTCCCTCCCTCTCCTCCCCCAACTTCCTGAATCCCCCCCCTCAGGGCATTAGCAACGCAGAGTCATTACGACGTTCCCTTCTTCTCAGCCGCTGCCGCCCATGCCACCCGCTACATGCCAAGATACGCCGGCCGCACAATTGCCTGCCTGGCGTTCGCCTTTGCTCTGATTGGCCACACCGCCCCCCCTCTCTTCCTGCGTGTTGAATCTGAGGTGGGCGGTGGTTTTTTCCCTGCTCTGGGCTGCTGTGGTCTGGTGCCCTGCTTGTCTCTGCTCTACTGGTCCGTGCGATGTGTTACCTGGTAAGAGACCTAGAGGAGGACCTACGTATCGGCCAAGCTCTCTTGCTCGGCCCCTCTGTCCTGCTCTGGGCTGCTATGGTCTGGTGCCCTGCTTGTCCACTCGAGAAGGGCACCAGATATGTTGTGCTGCTCTACTGGTGTTACTTTGAGAATTCTCAGAAGTAATAACAACATATCGGGTGACCTGCTTCTTTCTGCCCCACTGTGCCTTGCAGTTATTTACCTGGTAAGAGACCTAGAGGCGCACCTACGTATCCGCCAAGCTCTCTTGCTCCGCCCCTCCCACCACTCCTCTCCTCTCCTCTCCTCTCCTCTCCTCTCCTCTCCTCTCCTCTCCTCTCCCCTCCTCTCCTCTCCTCTCCTCTCCTCTCCTCTCCTCTCCTCTCCTCTCCTCTCCTCGCCTCGCCTCGCCTCGCCTCGCCTCTCCTCTCCTCTCCTCTCCTCTCCTCTCCTCTCCTCTCCTCTCCTCTCCTCTCCTCTCCTCTCCTCTCCTCTCCTCGCCTCGCCTCGCCTCGCCTCGCCTCGCCTCGCCTCGCCTCGCCTCGCCTCTCCTCTCCTCTCCTCTCCTCTCCTCTCCTCTCCTCTCCTCTCCTCTCCTCTCCTCTCCTCTCCTCTCCTCTCCTTTACTATCATCCATCCCCCCACCTCTCCTCTCTCCCCTTATTTAGATCATCCGGCACCTTGCCATGCGGGCAGGCGAGCAGGAGTTTGGCCGCCAGGCGCTGGTGATGCTCGCTAGGCTCTCGTGCTCCCGTCCTTCCCACCACCACCACCCACCGCCTCGTACTCTCCTCTCCTGTCCTCTCTATCGCTTCCGCAGATCATCCGTCGTCTGGCCATGCGGTCAGGCGAGCAGGAGTTTGGGCGCCAGGCGTTGGTGATGCTTGCATGGGCTCTCGTGGTGCATGGGCAAACCGGCACACCCTCTGCTGCTCCTGCTCTGCCTGACACCGCTGCACCTTCTGCTGCTCCTCCCACCACCACCATCACCACCACCACCAACTCCCCATCCTCTCTCCCCTCCTCCTCCTTCTCCTCCCCCTCCTCCTCTCTCAGCCCAGCTCTCCCCATCCTGCGTCACCACCTGCTCTCCCTCACCACCGACCTCACCTCCTCTGAGCTCTGCCAGCTGTACCAGGTGGGGTTAAAGCGCACACATGGGCTATCACTACCTGACACACACGCACACATGGGCTATCACTACCTGACACACACGCACACATGGGCTATCACTACCTGACACACGCGCACACAAACTTACAGCCCCCTCTCTCCGCCCAGCTCGCCCCATCCTGCGTCACCACCTCCTCTCCCTCACCACCGATCTCACCTCCTCTGAGCTTTGCCAGCTGTACCAGGTGGGAAGAAGCACGTTCACACACTCAGGCGACAGACCATCATAGCACGTGCACCATCATTTAGGTCGCTAGGAGGCACACACACATTCTTTTATGTTTCTCTCACTAGCGACCTCACCTCCTCTGAGCAGTTCCAGGTAGGTACGCTGTATCAAACTCCCTCCCTCCCTGTTGCAGGTCGATCTGGCCACACAGCTAGAGGCACCGGAGCACAACACTCGGCTGGTAGAAGGGGGCATGGAGCCATGACGGGTGCTGTTCAGGGGTGGTGCTCTCTCCCCCTCCCATGCTGCATGTGTGTCCCTCTCAAATCCCCTCGCAGGTCGATCTAGCCACCCAGCTAGAGGCACCGGAGCACAACACTCGGCTGGTACAAGGGGGCATGGGAGCCATGATGACTGATGCTGGCAGGAGCACGAGCGGCAGTGGGAGCGCGGGAGATGGGGAGTGGTGGGAGCAAGAGCAGAAGAAGCAAGGGGAGCAGCAGGAGGTGGAGGAGGAGGAGAGGGACGAGTCGTATTGGTATTTGCAGCACCTGTGGCTGTCAGGGTTTGTGCGGCAACAGGCTAAGGTGAGGAGGTGGGGGTGGGGTGGGGAGGAGAGCAGACGATGTGGGATGGTCGAATCGAAACATCACCTGCATCACCCTGCACCAGATGTGCCTCCCCCACACACTTTCATACCTGCGCACATTCATCTGATTGTCTGCTTGTAACTACAGGCGTGCTGGGAGGCAGCTCACGAGGAGGAGAGGTTGCAGCTGTCGCTCTTCAAAGGGACATCAGCTGCGCCCTGCACCACATGCACCTCCCCCACACCCTATGCAGACACCTTCATTCTTGTGTGCTTCCCCCTACCACAGGCGTGCTGGGAAGCAGCTCACGAGGAGGACAATATACGAGTATCAGGGCTTCAGAGGGACATCAGCTGCGCCCTGCACCAGATGCACCTCCCCCACACCCTTGAGTACCAAGACGGAGACTACAGCATCGACATTGCCTTGCTGCTGCCACTCACCCCATGACCCCTCTCAACTGCCTCCCGCCCTGCCCTGCCGCCCTGCCCTGCCCTTCCCTGCCCTTCCCTGCTAAGTGGCAAAAGACGCAGGGCGCGTCATGCGTCCTGCGTCGACGCAGCGTCCGGACGCAGGGACGCTGGACGCGCGTCCAGACGCAGGACGCACGGCATAATTTTTTTCGGGCTGACCGGGAGATTTTTTTTTTTCCCGATCGTGAAGCTGACATTCGCGATTTCGACGCGAATGTCAATGTCGCGAAATTTCGACCCCCCAGACCCATTTCGACCATCAAAAACAGCCCACACAATTCTCCTTCGTAAACCCTTGAGGGTTTTAGCTACCTTTCGCTCCATAGTGCTACCTTTCGCTACATAGCTATCTTTTTGCCTCACATGTGTGATACGTCGTCCCCCCCCCCCTTCCCATGCCCTATAACGTGTTTTTTTGGCTGCCCGGGGGTTTCTTTTGCCCTGCCCGGGCCTGCGTCTTTTGCTGCGTCTCAAAGGCCCACTTCATGCGTCCTGCGTCTAAGACGCTGCGTCTGGACGCACTCGTCTTAGACGCAGGACGCGTCTTTTGCCACTAAGCTTCCCTGGCCTGCCACCTTGTGTGCTTGTTTGCATTCGCTTGTGTGCTGCCCCTTACTACAGGCGTGTTGGGAGGCGGCTCACAAAGCAGAGAAGATACAGGTGTCTGGCCTTCAGAGGGACATCAGCTGCGCCCTGCACCAGATGCACCTCCCCCACACCCTCGAGTACCGAGACGGCGACTACAGCATCGACATTGCCTTGCTGCTGCCACTCGCTCCACACCCGGCAACTGCAGACAGTGACTCAAAGAAGAGTGACTCTAAGAGGAGGGAGTGGCGTATTCTCAAAATAGCAGTGGAAGCTGACGGACCGTCACACTTCACTATAAGCACATCGGGAATGAATGCTGAGCAGCAGCAGCAGCAGCAGCACTCTCAGCAGCACTCTCAGCAGCATGTGCCGCTGGGTCCCACTCGCCTCAAGGCCAGGCTGCTGCGCTGCCGAGGCTGGCAGGTGGTTCAGGTGAGTCCCTCTGCTGGTACCAGGGTGTTCAGGTGATCCTTGCTGTTGGTTTCAGGTGGTTCAGGTGAGTGGTTCTGTTGGTGCCAGGTGGTTCACAACATTGCCCTCCTCCTGCCACTCGCCCCACGTCTAACATCAACAGAAAGTGACTCTGAAGGTCTAAATGGGGTGACTTAAAGAGGAGTGGCTTTAAGAAGAGGTAGAAGTGGCGTTTATTTCTGGCATGCCTGCAACCCTAATATTTTTACAGTTCCACTTTTTGAGGAAATTAAAAAAAAAACAAACAAACAAACAAACAAACAAACAAAATGACGTGTCAACGATTTAAGCCCTCTCTCCTACTTCCCTCCACCGCGCCCCACCGCAGATCCCTTTCTTCGAATGGGAGTGCCTGTCGGACCTCCACCAGAAGCAGACATATCTCGCCGCCTGTCTCGGGCCTCTGGCCATGCAGCTGGCGCGTGCAGCAGCAGCAGATGCTGACGTGGTACTGGAACAGGCTGGTAGGACTGGGGAAGGTAGAACTGAGGAGCGTAGAACTGAGGAGGGTGGAATTGGGGAGGGTAGAACTGGGGAGGGTAGGACTGGGGAGGATGAGCCTGGGCTGGGTGACGAGCAGCAAGGGGAAGAGGGGTTGAAGGAGGGGCGAGCGGCAGACGAGGAAGAGCAGGTTGGGGGAGGGGAATCTAAGCCTGGGGATGGAGAAGGGAAGAAGGAAAAAGAGGAGGTTGAGGAGGGGGAAGAGGGAGGAGAGAGGAGGAAAGGAGGGGATGTCATTCCTGATCAATCTCAAAAGGAAGGGGAGGAGGAGGAGGAGGAGGAGGAGGAGGAGGAGAGGAGGAAGGGAGGGGATGTGTTGAAGCGAGCTGAGGTGCTGGGGGCGTGGAAGGCAGGGCAGGGCAAGGGAGGGCTGGGAGCTGACCGGCTGGCTCTGCTGCGCAAGGCTGCGATACGGAGAGGGCTGTCACAGAAGTAGAGGCGAGAGACAAAGCAGATACCCGCAGGCAAGGAGGGAAGGGCAGGGTAGGGCTGGGGAAGGGAGGGCTGGGTGCTGAAAGACTGGCTCTTCTTAGAAAGGCTGCGATACGGAGAGGGCTGTCACAGAAGTAGGGAAGAGAGACAAAGCAGATAGCAGGGTAGCAGGGTACAACAAGCAAGGAGGCAGGACAGGGGTGGGCTTGAAAGGGACAGGCTGGATGGATGTGCTTCGCAAGGCTGGTGTGAGGAGAGGGGTGTCAGTCACAGAAGTAGATGGTGGTTCATGCACAGGAGATGAATGACTACACCGCATGACTGAGATCAAGATACGTTGCATAAAGATACATTATCAAGGGAAACTGAGAGAAGTTGCTCTGTGTGGCAGTGCTAACCCAAGGAGAGATCACGTCACATCACATCACAGTACCATGCTGAGACTTCAAAACTACCGAGTGGAACCACCTGTATCCACATACAAAGTTAGCTAGCCCATAATAGAGACACCTGAACAAAAAAATACCCTAGTACCGTATTCCCTTGGATAAAAGACCCAAGGGGCTCTTATTGAATTCACAAAAAAAGGGGGGAGGGTCTTATTATAGACTACAAATTCGATAAGACCCGGGTCTTATTATAAGTGCTATGGTTTTTAAAATATAATGAAATGCAAGGGTGTTCTAATGCATATTTGTGTTTTTTTAACGAGGAAACACCCCGCGAATGTCTTGAGCCAAGAAATCGGGCACAATCCATGAAGCATCTGCATGCTTCATGCTCATTGGCCCATATTCAATGGTAACCAGCATTACATATTGGGGGCTGACCAACGTGTACCACGTCCAATGCTTTGTGTCAGACCGCCTCGGACGTCTCATCCCTTGCATGGCACGTGAGGCTCTCAGCACAGAGTCGCGCTATCTCTATCACGTCTCGTACACAAGCGAATTTGACACCGCCAGGGAACGGACCCACCTCTGTGCAATGGGGAGCGCAGCTCGGCAGAGTCTAGCATAGCGGGACTAGCACGGCATATTAAATTCATAGCGCGAAGAATGCCGGGCATAGCATTAGGCTGAAACAGGGTGTCAGCATGGTGTCAACGCCCGATTCAGGCACGTCAGAATCACGTCGCCCTCGTGCAACAACCTGCTGTCAACCTGCTCGTGTTAGGAGTATGCCGCGTCCTGTGCTGCCCACGCCAATACCTGTCAGAATCCCAACCACTAGACCATTGGGATAAAAGGGCTTGTTAAGTAGCGGGTCAGTGCGCCCATAACCCCCCAGGACAACGAGCCTGTAACCCTTCACTAGGATCAATCGGGGATCACCAGTGGACCTCTGACACCCCCCCGCACTGGGATGCCCGAAGTGCAGACACTGGGATTCGAACCCGAAACCTTCGCTCTGATACCATGTCAGAATCCCAACCACTAGACCATTGGGATAAAAGGGCTTGTTAAGTAGCGGGTCAGTGCGCCCATAACCCTGTTAGAATCCTAGGCAAAGTTGGTATTGAATGTCGAGAGTGTTGGTACAAAAATGAAACATAAGGGGTTGTACCCCACTAAAGCGTATCTAAACTACAACATATAAACATATGTTTGACACACCCCCATAGGCAAAGTGGGGGAGAACAGAGGGTCACAAGGCCAGGTAGGAAGTGCAAAGCAAGCTCAGGGTGGATCACAACGTCACCACGCAGTCTGAGCACAAGCAAAAGGCCACAAGGCCAGTTCACATGCAGAGATATATATGTAACAACAACAGCACAGTGATATCTACCTAAAAGAGCAAGCATGCAGGTATATATATAGATCACAGTACAAACAAAGCCTACAGCAAGTGAGGAAGCGTGGGCACAAGGCCTAACAAAGTGCAGAAACGCTGATGATCACCAGGCGGAAGCGCCTTGGTGAATATATCAGCAGTGTTGGCCCGAGTGGCCACGTAAGTAAGACGAAGCTGGCCACACTGCTGCAGCTCTCGAGCAAGGAAGTAACGGAGAGCGATGTGCTTTGTTCTGTGCTCCAGTCTGTGCTCCTGACACAAGGCAATGGCGGCCTTGTTGTCGACGTACAGAACTGGAGGAGAACGAGGCCGCTCTCCCAAGTCGGTCAGCAGGTAGGTGAGCCAGCGTAGCTCCTGCGCAGCCATGGCTGTGGCGTAGATCTCGGCCTCACAGCTGGAGCCGAGAACTGAAGACGAACGTGTAGAACGCCAGGAAACTGAACCAGAACCAAGGCTGAAGGTGTAACCCTGTGACGACCGCTGCGTAGCCTGGTCGTCAACCCAAGAGGCGTCCGAGTGACTAGTGAGGACAACGTCACCCCGTCCTCCAAGCACGAGCCCCATGCCCGATGTACAGCACAAGTAGCGTAGTACCCTCTTAGCAGCATCCATGTGCACCTTTCGGTGCCGACCAGGAGCCACGTAGCGAGCCAGAAGGCCAAGAGGGTATGCAAGGTCAGGACGAGTGCAGGTCATCAGGTACATGAGGCAGCCCACTAGCTCTGGGTAAGGACCACTCGGCTCTACGGACTCGTCCGAAGGTGGAGCTGAGAGCGAGTGACCTGTAGCCAGAGGAGTGGCCTGTGCTGAGGACCAGGTGAAGCCGAAGCGCTGAAGGACCTGCTGCACCATGTGTGACTGAGTCAGTGTGATGGTGCGGCGTGCTCTGTCCCGGGTGATCTGCAAGCCAAGATAGCTGTGCAGTTCACCCAGGTCTGTGCACGTGTGTCTCTTCTGCAGCTCCGACTTCACCAGGGCGAGAGCCTCAGTGTCAGCAGTGGCAAAGACCAAATCGTCGACGTACACGAGGATGTAGAACGGCGGCAGCGAAGTGTCGGTGCGCAGAAACAGTGACGGGTCAGCAGTGGACGGAGCAAACCCAAGAGCCGCAAGTGTCGTCCTCAGTGTGTCGTGCCACTTACGTGGCGCCTGGCGGAGACCGTAGACCGGCCGCCGGAGGCTCTACTGGGTACCAGGAGGGAACAACCCAGTGAAGCCAGGAGGGCGGCGCAGCCAGATCTCATCGTGCAAGCTGCCCTGTAAGAAGGCTGTGCTGAAGTCAAGAGAGTGAAGCTCGTAGTCACGCTGAGCGGCAACATGCAGCAGCACCCGAAGAGTGGTCATCTTCGGGGTGGGGGAGAAGGTCTGGAAGAAGTCAACTCCCTCTCGCTGACTGAAGCCTCGAGCCACGTAACGAGCCTTGAAGACAGGCGGAGAACCTGGAGGCCGCTTCACCCTGAAAATCCACATGCCACTGACAATGTTCGCCCCAGGAGGGGGAACCTCGTCGACGTAGGTGCCTGTGGACTTCCAGGATGCCATCTCTACGTCCATGGCTGTCTGCCACTAAGAGGAGTACTCACCCGCGATCGCCTCAGCGTAAGAGCGCGGGGTAGGGATGTCTGGTGCATCCGGGTCTCCCTCAGAGGCAAGCAGCATGGACACGAGATGAGGCGCAGCGGCTGCAAGACACTCAAGGTCCTCCTGCCTGTCCTCAAGGACGTCCTTGCCAAGAGCACACTCATCCCCGACGGACGGAGGACAGACAGACTCAGACTCAGCAACAAGACTGGCGGCGTAGTCTAGACGACAGTGAGCAGCAAAGTCAACAAGCTCAGCGACTAAGGCAGACGCAGCAGCAGACTCAAACGACGGGTCAGTGACAACAGTGGCAAGCAGACGCGTGGCAGTAGAGTGCTCAGCACGAAACTGGTCAGACGCAGGGTCAGCAACGACAGGCAGAGAGGACGCAGGGGGAGACGGTAGAGGAACACGCGACGGAGGAGAGGAAGGACGACGAACAGCAAGGTAAGGGCCAGAGACAGCCGGCTGGCTCGGACTAGGAACACGACGACCGGAACGGACAGGTGAGACAGGACGCGACGCAGGCTCACGACGCTCTGCAAGGCCCCCAGTCTGCTCTGTGTACGGAGAAGGAGCAGGCAGCGGTGAGCCAGGCTGTAACGGAAGACCAGTAGACGAGGGAAGACTGAGAACCTGGCGAAGTGCAGAGTCAGGTGGTGGCTGAGACGACGGAGACGGCGGAGTGAAGAATAGACGCGGCTGAGCAGTGCCACCAGCACTAGCAGCTCCAGTACCTCCAGTAGCGCCAGCACCTCCAGCAGCTCCAACACCTCCAGCAGCTCCAGTACCCTCAGCAGCACCAGCACCACCAGTAGCTCCAGCACCCTCAGCAGGTCCAGCACCGCCAGCAGCCCCAGTACCCTCAGCAGCGCCAGAACCTCCAGCACCTCCAGCAGCTCCAGTACCTCCAGCAGCAACACCGCCAGCCCCAGCAGCTCCAGAACCCCCAGTACGAGCACCTCCGGGACCAGCGACACCAGTAGAAGAACCCCCAGCAGTAGAGCCCTGAGGTGCAGAAGTGCGACGCTGACGGCGACCGTACCAGTCGTGCAGCTGCTGGGAGGTGAGGGGCACACGCGGACGAAGACGGCTACTCCAAGGAGACCGCATAACAGCAGGCTCAGAACCCTCAGGTGACTCACCCCCAGACTCAGCACCTCCAGGCTCCGCACACGCAGGCTCAGCACCCCTAGACGCAGCACCTCCAGACGCAGCACCTCCAGACGCAGCACCCCCAGACGCAGCACCTCCAGGCTCCACACGCTCAGCGCCCCCAAACTTAGCACCCCAAAGCTCCGCACCCCCAGGGACAGCACCACTCCCAGCAGGACCGGAGTCACCAGTGACCTCAACAGGCGCAAGCGCAGGGGGGTCTACCTGAGAGACACCTGAAGGAGCAGGACCTGGCGCGGGGAGGGGGTCTACCTGGGGAGGACCTGGGGCGAGAAAGAGCGGCGGGGGGGGGCGAGGAGCAGTGCGGTAGGGGAAGAGGCGGTAAAAGGGGACCGACTCGTCAAAGGTGACGTCCTGAGACGCAAAGACACGGCGCGAGGCGGGGTCGTAAAACTGCCAGCCAAGCGCGCCAGGGACAAAGCCAAGGAAGACACAGGGAATGGCGCGAGGGGA